TTCTGATGAACCATTTGCAAGTTTCTAATCAGATGATGCGGTCCATAGGCCCAGCCAATTTTCCAGCCAGTTACCGAAAAGGTTTTACCTGCCGAGCCAATCGTAATCGTGCGATCCCACATTCCAGGCAGAGTGCAAATGCGCACATGTTCGACACCATCAAAGACAAGCCACTCATAGACCTCATCCGATACGCAGAGAACATTCCACTGGCGACACAATGCGGCAATGCGCTCCAGTTCCTGGCGATGGAAGACCTTTCCGGTGGGATTGTGCGGGGTGTTTAATATAATCATCTTTGTCTTCTCATTGAACATTTTCTCCAATTCAAGATCATCCAAGACCCAGTCGGCGGAGCTAATCGGGCCGTCTTTCTTTCGCTAAAAGAAAGCATCACATTAAAGGATAAACAAATGCCAAAAAGAACCGAGCGATTTGTTAACAATTGCTTACCAATTTCAGTGGAATGAAACGAGGAACACCTCTGGCCATTTTGACCATGGGCTCATAACAATCGAAGAAGGGCTCAATAATAATGACCTCTTCACCCTCGTCCACATGTCCCATTATGGTGGAGTAGAGAGCCTCATAGGCGCCGGAAGTAATCAGAATATCGCTAAGCGGGTTGAGCTCTTTGCCAACGAGGCCGCTATAGAGTTTGGACAGTGCCTGCACCAGGCGAACATGACCCTAAAATGAATTTCCCACATTAGGCGTGGATAAGGAGGAAATGGAAGCACTTACATTTCCTCTAGTGTACTGATGTAGCAACGGATTCTCATCCTTGGCAATATCTGCCAGCGAGTTGGTGACATAGTCCGGTGCTGCATCATCCGGAAATCCTTGGCCCAGATTCAATGGCTTGTACTGCATAGCTAATGCAATATATTCGTTCCATACGCTGGGCGTGCTRCCCTGAAGGCGTTTGGGCAGATCAAATTTTTCCATGCTGCTGTCGGCAGCTGCGCTCACCTTATGAATGGGTTGAACTCGCTGACTGAAGGAGTTTAAATATAAAGTGTGCCGAGACAGAGCGCACACACGTCGACAGTTCTTGAGCATCTGAAATCGAGACGATTTAGCGGAAAATACTAGTTATAAAACTGCGTATATTTGTACATATGTACATGTACAAATGTATGTTTATATGTACTTTATGTGTGTGCGTGAGTGTGGGCTACTTCGAAGAAATGAATTCAATATTAACGTAGTTTAACGTAGCAAAAATTTGTTAGCGCGCTGGTTTTAATGTTTAAATGTATGACATTGCATAATGCAAATAAGGAACACAGAGCTAAAGCAATTTTGAACGACGTAAAATGAAAAACTTATTGTTTATATACGTTTGCTCATAGTCATACACACACACATACACATACACCAACTAGCACCACCTCGCTCTCATGCAAATCACACTGAATTTTTAATGTAGCTATAGATAGACAGAGTAGCGTATAGTGCTGCGGTAAATTATTATCTTTATTTACAATAAAAAATTACCAGAAACAGCGGCTTATCAGTGCAAAACTTGCCGTTGCTTGAAGCCGTCTGCGCTGGAACAGCTGTTACTATCTCATGTTGCCCAGCACTGTTACCAGGGATGCATATATTAATCAAGGCGCGCACATTTGAAAAATAAAATAAAAATACTTGG